CCAGCCACTGGATCTGGTGATCCATGTGAGGACGAATGACAGAACCAGGCAGGGTGTGGGCGGGATCACCAGGGACTTCAAGGCCTTGGGAAAGAAACTCAGAGACCTAAAGGTCCAAGTTGCCTTTTCTTCTATCTTACCAGCTAGTGGGACCGCTTAATAAGAAGGAAGGGGATCCAGTGACTGATGAGAGGGAACAGGCAGATGCTAAATGACTATTTTGCTTCTGTGTTCTTTCCAAAGCAGGATGGGGAAGATACGCATGGGAGATTAGATGAGGCTGGGAACTTAGGGGCACAGATTAGAGTCGTCCCCCCAGAAGTGGAGGAGCTCCTCAGGGCACTGGACATTACAAAGGAGCCAAGCCCTGATGGGTTACACCCGAGAGTACTTGGAAAGTTGGCAGGGGTTCTCTCACGCCCACTGGCCTCCATTTTTGAGGCCTCATGGAGAACGGGTGAAGTTCCAGAGGACTGGAGGGTGGCGTCAGTGGTTCCAATTTTCAAAAAGGGTAGTAGAAGGGACCTGGGGAATTACAGACCTGTTAGCCTTATGTTCATTGTAGGAAAAACAATGGAAAGGCTAATAATAGCAAGACATCTAGTGATGCTAGATAGGGAAGGGAGTCTGAAGGCCACACAACATAGCTTCTGCAAAAACAGGTCCTGCAAGACAATCCTTGTGGAATTTTATGACAAGGTTTCAAGGTGGCTAGATGGAGGGGATGCAGTGGATGTGGTTTACCTGAATTTCAGCAAGGCCTTTGACAAAGGGCCTCATGATATCCCGGTTGAGAAATTAAAGCGTTTTGAGATAGACCAATGCACTGTCTGATGGATTAGGGTATGGCTGACTCACTGAAAGCAGAGGGTAACCATTAGTGGGGAATGATCAGGATGGCAGCCAGTGACAAGCGGAGTCCCCCAGGCGAGATGGAGGGAACTGGGTCTTTTCAGCCTTTTCAGAAGAGGAGTCTCCAAAGGGATCTGTTGGTGACATACAGTCATGTGAGGGGGTGTCACACAGAGTTGGGTAGAGACCTGTTCTCCCCTGCAGAGGAGGGCAGGATGTGCTCCAACAGAGCAAATCTCAGGGAAGCAAGGTTCAATTTGGATGCCAGGAAGTACTTCCTGACAGTTAGGAGCCCGAGGGTATGGAATGGGCTTTCACGGGAGGTAGTTGAGGCCCCATTGGTGAGGGTGTTCAAGGATAGGCTAGGCATGCATGTGGTAGGCATGCTGTGAGAGTTGCTGGCTAGAGCTGGGGGTCAGATGGCCCAGGAGACCTCTTCTGACTCGCTCTGTTTCTATATCAATTATTTTAAAACTATCATTTAAAATCCAGGCATGAAGACCATTTAGAACTAGAAAATCCAGACATGAAGAACCATTTAGAACTATTTAAAATCCAGACATGAAGACCAGTTAGAACTAAGCCTAAAAAGTGCCCAGTGGGTGAACAGTTATGGCAAAACAGAAACCCTTATACAAAAGGTTTATGTGAAGAAACAGAGTAAAGTCCCTCCAGAAAACCCAGCCAGCATTTAAATAAATGCTTCATTTCCTTTGGTGGCAAAATGGGGAGGACTGACATCTAAAGCATCCTGATTGCTAACCAACCATGTAGCTTTGAAAAAGGAAATTGCTGGCAGTTTCTCACAAACTTTCAAAATAAACAGGAAGTTAAGTGAAAAAAAAGCATCAAGCAATAGTGCGCAAACATGCAATGCATTTCACTTCAAACAAATGGAAATCAGAACAAGCAGTCTGAATATTTTTGCTACTAACTCCTGCAAGATTTGGACTAGAAATACTGCATTAGCGCAATGATGCATAAAGAATTGTAGAAAAGCAGGCAAGGCTGCTATGAATGAAGCCCTCAAAGCAACAATCAGAAGCAAATTCTGAATAATATTTGTTTTGAACCTATTTCCTAAGTATTTCAGATCCTGTTAATTCTTGTGTGTCTTACTGCCATGTCATTTGGCAAAACCCACTGTCAGTATGATTGCAGATTGCTGAAGGCATCACTATTCAAGAAAAATGGTTGTGGCCTTTTTCTTTCAAATTCACACCTAACCATAGCTATTCAAGGCTAGAAATGCAGTCTGAGATAGGCTGCCATTGACTGAAGTCTGAAGCTAGTGACCTTCAAACTGGCCTCCCAACAGGGATTTTCTAACTGGGTAGATAGCTGTAGACACATAATACTGGCACTCTAAAGTGTACCCTGGCCTCCTCTAACCTTCCAGGCACAATTTACTTTGCCCAGTAAAACCTTTTGATCTACATGGCAAATGTACGTAAGACAGAAATTTTCTCCTTAATTCCTAAAAGGGAATTCTCTCCTCTGGTAGTGAAAACAATCTTCTGAATGTTCATTTTAAGACTGTTTTTCAGTTGTGGTGGGATTTTAAGTGTGTTAAAAAGGGACCTAGCATTCTTCCCTTTTCTCCAGCAGCCACCATTTTTATTATTATTTTTTTTAAAATCACTAGTCCTAATTATGTATCTCCCAGATCACCTACCATTTGGCCCTAAGTGACACAAACGTTACAGTTTTTGATGTATGATTAAAAGGTAATTTTTTGGGTTAAAAATTCAACTTATAGGAAGAGGCATGTTTGATAATTCGTTTAAAACAACAAAGCTGCTAGACTACCAGGGCTAGATGATGTATATACTCTCCCATTGTTATCCAGCAAAATTAAACCAATTTGCTGAAATTACTACTAGAAGGAAGGGGGAGAGAATGTTACCTGAGCTGGCATAAATCTTGTGCTATGTGCCATGAGTAATGGATATATGCCTCTTTCCATACATTTTTCTTTATCAATAATCTTAGGGCAAAATCAACTGTGACAAGAAACTTGGAATAACATCTTAGTTCTTATTTTGCAGAATCTGAAAAGAAGAACTTATGTCCATATATCATTATCCTGTTTTCTCACTCTGCCAATGACAACCAATTAGATAAAGTGGAAGTGAAGAAAAGACAGCAAGATGAAGCCATATATATATAGGCAGAACCTGATACAACCCCCAAGCTAGCAAGACCTAATACTAGAACACTGGGAAGCCAGCAGTTCCCCAAAGAAATCTGGAAAGGAGTTAACATGTCCCATTCCCGAATGAGTGTTTCTACTCATTTCTAGGATTTCCTAAGGCAGTGCTAATTCTTGATGTGCTGGCATGAATGCAATTGCAGTATTGGATTCTACTACACTAGAAAAATGTTTGAGTGTTGTTTCTGTGTTTCTTGTAACAATTTTTCTGTCCTGATTTTCCACAAGATTATTAATAGCAGGATATGCCTTTGAGGAATGTTGTCCATGGGTTTGCAATGGGTTAGACACAACTTCACGACTAGCAACAACAATAACAAGTGCCTTTTTTTAGGGATGTGGCGGTGCAGTGGGTTAAACCCCTGAGACACTGGGCTGGTTGATCGAAAAGTCAACAGTTTGAATCTACAGATGGGTGAGCTCCTGTGCTTTGTTCCCAGCTCCTGACAACCTTGCAGTTCGAAAGCATACAAATGCAAGTAGATAAAAAGGTACCACTTTGGTGGGAACGTAACAGCATTCCACATACTTGTGTTTAGTCATGCTGGCCACATGACCAAGGAAACTTTCTGTGGACAAACGCTGGCTCCCTCGGCTAGGAAACCGAGATGAGCATCGTCCCCAAGACTCAGACTTGATTGGAGTTTAATGTCATGGGGAAACCTTTATCTTTACACCATTTTTACCTTCAAAAGACTGAGTTGCTTTAAAAAGCTAGTTTAAGAACACAGACCAAATTGCTAATTTTAAAACAGTCGACAGATCACATCATGTATGCGATGATTTGCTCTCACATACAGATTCTGCTGATGTGAACTCCCATAAAATGTTCCCTAACATGCAAGCAAACATGTCAATATACATGCCACTTCTCTTAGGTTCACAGTTTTGTAAATCCACTCACTCATTTAAAGACAAAAAATAGACCTTTGGTAGGTAGTAAAAGTACTGAGCAATAATAAAACAAAGATTAAAATAGAGGTATAAACAGAGAAAGATGGAAACAGGGTGGGACACACAAACAAAAGTGCAAAAACATTTTTAGAAAGTGAAGAGGAGGAAAAAGTCATTACTGAGGCCGCAATTTTCCTCCTCAAAGAATAATGACACAGACAAAATGGCGATGTTGAGGATAATTAAGTAAGCTGTCTCGGGTTCCTTGTCAGGCAAAAGGAGGAACAAGCATCTAATAAATATTACAGTAATAATTCTTCTCCCAGCTGTAGGAATTGCTCAACTTCTTGACTATCAATTAAGCAGATCAGTTACAGTCAAAATAAGGCAAACACCTTAGGATAGGAAGTGCTAATAATAAAAGAATTCCTAGCAAATCAGACAGATAAATGAAATATATTTTATCTCTATCACCATAGTACATCACGTAATAAATCCAGCATGTCAGAAACAATAATTAGAAGCCAAAAGTTTGCAGAACGCACACTTTGGATCATACAGATCACTCTAGAAAAACATAGATGTTATACTGAAAAGGAAAAAAAAACAAGACAAAAGAGAACAAGAAACAACTTTTTAAAATTTTTGGGCCACTTAATGCCCCTGGAAATTATGGAAGTGGAAAGGATTCTTGCAAATCTTTATGAATACAAAACGAGGCACAAGCATTCCTATAGTGAACACAATTCAAAGTGCTGCTACTACCAATATGTATCAGAACTATTTAAAAAGTTTTGTAAGAAAAAATGGGGAGTATGCTCTGAACATCCTTATGAAAAACTGACAAGCAGGATAAAAAACAAAAAAAAACTTTTATTTCTATTTCCTATAAGGGGAAAAACAGTTCTTACAAATTTAAACACTCTTGTACTTAAATTATGCTTACCAAATTAACAGAAACAATGCCCACACTCCTTCCCATAGGCATTTATGACATACTTTATTTACAAAATTTAACACCAGATTCCAAATAAGTACTTACCCAATGTATCTTTCAGATTTTTAACCAAGGACCCCTTCTTCAAGCTGTTCTTTCTCTCAACATAATTCGACGGCACGTATCCTGTTTTGTTGGCTGCATTTCTTACCCTCCACCATGTTTTGGAATCATCCAGCAGCCAGAGGCGTTCATTCTTCTTTATGTCAAGTTCTTGGTCCTGTTGTGCAGTGTAATCCCACTTTGCTATAACAATAACTTCTTCTGTCATCTTTCATGGAGTCCCTCTGTCATAAAACAAATACATTCATTGAAAAACTGCACATGTTCCTTCATCATTCTTTAAACAGTAAGCCAGAAAATATAAAATGAGATTTAAACAGTAAGGACATAATGGCCAAATAGAGCAAATTTCATTTCACTTTTGATTCAGTATTAAACCACACTGGCTCCTAGAATGCATCCAGAGCGGTGTGATCTGCTGCCACTAATTCTGCGGCATAGTCTATGAGAGTCATGATCTTTTAACCTATTGTTCCTCTTCAAGAGGAGCTGTGTGTGTATCCAAAATCTTGTCACACATGAAAGAGGGAGCATTGCCACAAAGGCTCAGGACAAGCATTTTCGCATCTTCTGAACTTTTTTCACAGTTCTATCTCAGCTATTGGAGTTCTTGAATTAGCCCCCAAATACTTAACTGGCACAAGAAACAAAGTACAATGACTATTAGGTTCTATGTGCTTCTATTAATAATCTTTTCTTTTCTTTTAGCACAAGCACAATCCCTGCAATTATACATTCTAAAAACCTGGCTACTTCCTGATCCTTTCTCAAGGTTTATCATTACATCTCATGAAATTTACTGGACAAAGTGCATGGGTGTAGATGCTTAATGCTAAAATCATTTTGGAACGCAAGATGTGGGGGGCGGAAGAGAGACGGCCATTTTTATGAGGATGTGAAGATTTGAACTAAGACAATGAAGCACATAATAAAGGAAATCCAACAAAAACACAAAAATAGTTATAGTAGAGGCTCACGTGTTTTACTGGAATAAGCTTTAATTCAGTACATATACATGAATCAAATATTTTTCTGAAAGTCTGCTTAAATTAACATCTTATGCATGATTTAGTAAATTTGACTTATATCATGTGTATAGCTACTTATATCATGACAAACAAACAAAGCCACAACCCAGAAGTGCTCCAGCACTGTATCCTGACTCAGAATCATGGGGCGTAACTTTTGTTTATGATCATTTTTCATCTGAGAAAAAATGCATGATTGTACCAATGGAGAAGGTGATATTGTGCATCAGGAAATCCCCATACTATTAAAGTTACAACTGTTTTTCCCTCTTTAACACTTAACACATGAACACAAGATAAGAACCCTGCTACAATTTCTTTACTGACAAGCTAGAGTCCACCAGTAGAGGCTGAATTGAAAGACTTCTGCACTTTTCTTTTTGAAAGGGGGAGAAGCACTGAATAGAAAGTTTCCAGAACAGTGGAGCTGCATGCACAGCACTACAACCATTATGGGTTATAGAACCCATGGTGAGGTCGTGACATAAGTCATGGCCACTATGTAATTCCGCTCTCAGCAATGTGGTCCTAACCAAGCAAGAATGGAATGTGCAAAAGATAAATGACAAATAATGTATGAAAAACCACACTGAGATGTCTAAACCTAGTCAGGATTACCAGAAGAGTAGAGGAAGAGGACTCAAAAGTTCACAAAAGTGATAAAATGCTTTAGATTAGTCTGTGGCATACCCTCCTGGGCTCCGAAATGCTATAGCAGAAAGCAAAGAAGCAGACAGCCATGTTAGTTTGTTAGGGGAAAAAATCCCAAAATCCAGTCAAGTATGCCTTTCTTAGAGCTAACCAAATCATTCTTGAAGCGAAGAGAAAGAGTTTAACATCAGAAAATAATGTTCTAATCCCAACGATTGTACTTTGACTATGGGAAAAATTAACATGTTCTCTAACGGCTGGATTTATACTCTACAATGCAGTTTTGACAGACTCCAGCTGCAGCATCACCTAAAATTAATACCCAAGTTCTGTGAAGATTACCATACTGTGATCAACTTAGAAGCTTTGAGTGTAGCAATGAACTTTTGCTTTTGGGTAAGTGCATCGAGTTTGCTCTTCTATATACAACCAACAAAACTGCCTTCTCAATGAAAAACTAAATTGTGCAACCGTTAATAAACAGCTGTACTATGTCTGAATCAACTGTTCCAATATTCAGAACATTCTCTCTGTGAGTTATGGAAGGGCAAAGCACAATTTCTGGACACAGCCGACATACTGTAATTTCAAAATAGACAAAATACAGGTCAATAATACAATCTAGCCATGAGAAAATTACAACTGAGCCTGCTCTTGAGCCTTTTACTGTCAATACACATTTAGATTAATTCAACTTATTTCAAGCAGGGGAAGCTCAAATTCTCCATTATCAATAACTAGGGTGTGTGTATGAAAAGTTACCAGATCATCATTATCATTAGTCAAGTGCGCAGCCATCACAATGACTCTCACTCAACCAAAACATTCTCAGCAACAAAACAAGTTAAACTGCAAGCCATGAATCTAGAAGGAAAAAAATCTTAAAATGTAAATAAATGAGCTACACTCTACCTGGTTAGCAGGGACCTACAAATGTTAACCCAAGTAGCTGGCCACATTACCAGAACAGGAGGTCTTCTTTTCTGTATAAAGCCAACTTTTGGAAGTAATGACAAAATCAGTATGCAGTCTCCCTATGTGTGATGAGACCAGACAAAAGATCTGCAACCATGCTTGGAGCCAAACATACCTGAAGATAAACAAACATCAGATACAATACAGTGTAACAAGGCCCACTCATTTCAATTACTCTGCTTAACTAGGGTTAGCACTGATCCGACCCATTCTCTTCTACCTGTTTTTTAGCGGTCTTGATCCTTGCAAATGAGAGAAGCATAGAAACCAATGAGCTGCTCATGGTAATGTTGCAAGTAACAACACACTAAGTCTACAACAACTGACCAGGGAAGTTACAAGAATCAAGCTGAATGTTTCCAAATATTGCAAGTGGAATGTTCAGTTTTTGAAAAGTTAATCAAGTTATACCCTCTTAATACAAAAACCTCTATTTAAATTAACAGCACAGCTATTAGTTTATCAAACTACACCTTAGTTTCTACCATGGCCTAGTTCAGCAATACCACTAGCCCCTTAATAAAACTAGCCTTAGAAGCAGATGTTTCCATGGCAAAAATATGACCCTGCCTGGAATAAATTTCCCCTCTATTCTTCATCATTTTTATCCAGGTTGTCAGCTCCTCATATTGGCTAGGGTAAAGCTCAAAGGGGTTTCTCTAAAATCACTCTGTGCTAGAAGAGGCTGTAGCATGGAAGTAGCTCAGAGGTCCATTTGCTGACTTGTACAAGGCTAAATCAACATCAATTAAATCCCATGTGGCAAAGATATGTTCCCTCTTTTCAAAGCTACCCCTAAAATTCTCTCCTTTGGTACATGCATCATTGTGAAATATAATCCCTTGATCTCAAAGCATTTAACTTCTCAGTGGAGAGAAGAGAAAGGAAAAACACCTATATACTTTGCATTTGCACAGTGAACCTGAAATACATTGCAAATATTTAGTATATAGTTATTCACTACAGTTAACATGAAATAGCTTTTATATTTGCAATAACTCATGCCAGTTTATTTCTCTAAAGTATTCTCTCTAAAATAAATTACGTATTTCTTGTAAATATGTAAGGAAAGGTCCTTTTTTCTAATTACAACAGATAAAAGTTGATTGGGATTCTGTCTTTCCCCATCTTCATTTACCATAATTTATCACTGCTGGATATCTTTCTGTTTTTCAAAAATATGCTAGGCATTTTACTGCAATGTAATCAGAAGAGTCATTTAATATCCTACCTTGTTGTTTGCACCGTTTCTCAGAAATGCACGTGTTGGGTACTTGTTTTTAACAATGTTCTTAATGAAAACTTTAAGTAACACCTGCTTTTCTATCCAAGTGTGCAATGTATCTGATAAAAGTCAATATCTAGCCACTCCAAAGAACTTATATATCCTTTGTTTAACAGATCCGCTTACAGGAAACCTCAAGTTGGTTTACTCTTGTGGCAAAAATGCAAGCGTTTCCCTCACACAAGCAAAGACTGTTGCATGCACCACTAATGGCACAGAAGCTGTACATACACATTTCCTTTTTTTAAAAAAGGCATTACTAATGTATTCAATATGTCATTCTACAGAACTGGATGCAATAATTATTTCTAGCTTTTTCTGCTACAAAGTGCAACAATAATGACATCTGAAAGCAGTGTTTTGTTAGTGTTTTGTCCTATTTCAATCAGGAAGAAAACCATCCTTGAAATGTTTAACATACCTCACACATGCTTAAATTAGCAGCTCTTTCCTTGGCCCGAAAATGTGGTTTCAGTCCATAAATTACAAAACAGCGGTGAGTAATTCAAACTAATCAGTATACTGAAAAATGTATGTGCTAGAGGCTAAAGAAAAAAATTACATGTATGTCACTGAGATTTCAGAACTAAATATTTTAGAACAGGTGACATCTTCCCTGAAAAAGAAAGAAAGAAAGAAACAAACAAACACACGTAGAGTCCTATTAAGATCCAGAACAGTGATGCACTTTTTAGCATCAAGTTCATCTGCAAAAGCAACTCACTGCCCCAATACATCATTCGATTGCTTGTTCTGAACACTGACTGAATACCAGTCAAGTTTAAACTGCAATCCAAGCTATGAGTTTAGTCTAAAAACTAAATAGTTTTTAAGTTTAATCGCTGTTTGTTTTGTGATTTATTGTTTTGTTCTGTTTTATTTATTGCAATTGTTGTTTTAATTGTCTTTTTAAATATTGTAAGCAGACTTGAGATCTTGTACAATAGGATGGCATACAAAAGTTTTTAATAAATAAATAAGTGCCCCTCGATGATGTAATAATTTTAATACATTATAATAAAATACCCCAACTTTTGAGTACAGTGTTCTCTAAAAGTCCTGTAGAATAATTTATTTTTCTACTGCCTTTGGGGGGAAATTTTAAAAAGTGATTTGTAATTTCCAGTGCCTATTCACTACTTTTTGCATCAGTGCCTACCTTTTGAGCCTTTTCTCCTCTTGCCCTTCAACTCCTTATCTTATGCCACTACTCATCATCTTCTCTATCTCAGGAATTTTCTCCAACACAACATGAAACAGGCTTCCTGAAGCTGATGTCCTCCAG